CAGTGATATTGTGCATGCAAACTAGGAGCATTTTGTGTCTTAAGAAAAATAATCTGAGAACAGATGGCTGTGAAAATTACACCCGTGCACAGAACAAGTCACAGGAATAATAGTTCAGAATTTGGTTTTTCTCTTTTTTCTTGTAAAACCTGAAGGGTTGATATATTCTTTCCATACAGTTATTAGAACTTAGTTTTGTTCTAGCAGTTGTGAAACTTGCAATGAAAAGGAAATGTGCCATTTTTTTTGCCCACTTGGAACTATTCTTAGCTGTATATTTGAAACTGCTAATAACACACGAGCGACGTATGCTGGTTTTTTAGTGCAATTTCTTCTGTAGCTATTCTTTGACCAAACTGTGGGTATTGTTAATATTAATTTATATTTGTCTCATTTTTGTATGTATGCATAGCGTGGTTGTAAGTATGTGTGGTTTATAATCTAAAAAGGTCATAAAGCTCAGTTTGGCTGTAATTTAATTCCCTTCTCTTTATTTTTATTTATTTTTGTACTGTGCTGATTAAATAAAATGCACTGACCAAAAAAAACAAACAAACAGACAAAAAAAATGCCAAAGGCTGCAGAAGCGTGCTCCGCCCACCCTGCTCTCAGTCTCCTCGGCCCGCTGCTCCGTGCTCTCCCTTTCCTCCTGGAGCCACCTAAAAGAGACCAAAACTCGTGAGCTGCCTTTGTCAGCACAGCATCGTGTCTGGACAACAAATTTGGGCTGGCATTCTGTGTCACAATGAGCAAATTCCAGGAATATCTGCTCATTTCACATCTCGGCTAAAAGGTTCGACTTTCCCTCTTTTGAATATTCTCAAACTTGGAATAACTTGGCACTGAGTCTTACAAACTGGCCCCTGGTCATTCACGTTTGATTTGACTCGTTTACGCTAACATTCTGACGGGGCCTGTGTGGCGACTCTCTCCCTGTGAGGAGATACCTGAAGCTGACAACCTTAACCTTCCCTGCTCTCAGGGCAGAGGTGCACGTCAGTGCCTCAAGTCTTCTCCACTGGGAATCGGGAACTCTCTATAACCAACACAGTGATTCACAAACAAGCTGGAGTTTCTAAACAAAACTCCCCAGACCAGATGAAGTGCTGAGGGGATTTTTACTTTTTTAAGGATGTATGTGTAACAACACATCACTTGATGAAATTCTCCACCAGCTGTGTGTGAGTTTCTGGATTCATGTCAATCTGCCGCATTAACCTAGAATTCACGCTTACTGTTCTTCTCCCCTAATGTGTAGTGGATGATTTTATATAGCAGTTGAAATACACAATGATGCCTATAAAATGATTTCCAAATTAAAACACGGGATTCCTGCAGGTCATAACCTCTTCAGCTTCATTCTACGTAAAAGTCTTGAAAGTTTTTCACTTGTGATAGCAAGCTGATGGACACAATTTACTATTCATAAAAGAAGTCAACTTACTGCCTAAGGAAAATTCACTTTACCTGAAAACTTGCTGTAATAAAAAAATATTAATATGCAACCGTTCCATATTACCTGCGGGGACAGGGAAAGCCCATCTTTCTGAGCTAATCTGAGCTGAAACAAGGCCAAGGAGGCAGTCTGTCTCGGCATCAAAAGTGCAGGTGGCACCACCTGCATTTGCTGGCTGTGCCATTCTCGGCTACCCTCCCCCCGAGCCCCACGTGCTCGGCACTGAGGACCGGGCATCTCGGCCTGGGCTGACGTGAAGACAACAATCTAAGCAGCACCTCTGCCTGCTCCTGCACATGGTCACCGGCCTGTGACCGCTCTGCACGTGGAACCGGGACAGGGGCTCAGCTGTGCGGGTGTGGCCCAGGAAGGCCTCGGGGCCCCCGGACACCCAGCTACACCCAGAACCAAGACCTGCTGCTCATCACCAGGCAGACCTTTGCCTTCTATCTCGAGCTGTAAACTGTTACAACTGAGAAGACAGTGTCTAAAGAAAATATCTTAAATAACCTGATGAGATGAAAAAAGCTCAAACACATGTTTTGGGCCACTGTCTTACAACAAGCCAATCTTCACACTGTATTAACTTGAAAAGGACAATGCAGATCTGAATGGGAATTTGCCAACCCCCAAACCCCTGCTTTTCTGTTCCAGGTAGCTTTTCACCAGAACGTGGGAGTCTCCGATGGACACGGGAGGGTGAACTCTCAGTGCTGGAGGGCACACGGGACGCAGAGGACACTGCGTCGGCACCTCACCCACCTTGGGGCTCAGAGCTGGGGGGGGGACACCCCACAAAGCCCCCCCCCCACAGAGTGCTGACACCAGCTGTGGACAGAACGGCCTGCCTGTCTGAGCTCTCTCATCAAGGGTGGTCTGAGAACTGAAAATCCTTGAAGCAGGCCTGAAGTCAGTTTTCTCACTATGGAACACTCAAGACTTCTCGTAGGAGAAGACAGCTCCTCAGAGAAGCCCAGTTTCTGGGGAGCCGAGTTCGGGCACACCCACCGGGTCTCCTCACTGATGGTGTCCAGCTGCTCCCGAGGCATCACAGGCAGAGTGTCGGCATCGGCCTGCCCACTGGGCGGCAGCTGACCGGCCGAGCTGAAGAGGGTGACCCTGTCGCCCTCGCCGTCAGACACATCCTCGTCACTCTCGAAGTCCTGGGCCATGGTGGCCACCACGCGGGTCTGCTGTGCGGACTCCCAGTCCTGCTCCCTCTGGCTCTGCACCTGGGCATGAGAGGACCACGGCTGGTCAGCGACATTCAGGACAGCTCACGTCTATCAGGAACCGAACACAATTTTACATGGAAGCCCGACTTTGGATAAACGGCCATGCCTATGAGACACTGCCATCTCTTAAGCGAGCAGTACTGAAGAAATGGGCTGGAGGAGAATCTAGTTCCTAGATGGCCTGCTGACACTCAGGTCAGCGTGGACGGAAGGCAATCCTATCAGGTTATTCACAAGAGTGCGCTGACGGAGTCAGGGACAAAAACGCAAAATTGCAAACATACATCCATGCCTCCATCAGGCAGGCTGAAGGAAAAGAAGAAGGAAAAAATCCTTCCGCTCCGCAGCCGCTGGGTCCGCCTCAGCGGTCGTCACTTGTACTAGTTCCCCGAGGAGTGCCGTCCTCCCAGGTTCCCAGCCCTACGTGTTCCAGGCTGGCCCGAACATGCAGAGAGAGGAGCGAGCAGGGGCAGCCAGGGAACTGGAGGGGAGCCCTCCGCGGCTGTCCTCTCGGGGCACAGGCACTCGGGCTCTGCTGGGGGATAGCCCCTCGCACCGCAAGGGCGGCTCTGCCATCAGAGACGCACGGGAGAGTGCCTGCTGGGCCCTGTGCCACCCTCCTGCTCTCACACCTCACAACCTTCTCTCTGCAAATCTCCCCCCTGTCCGACTCTCAACCCAGGTCCTGCCTTCTTTCCCACACATGACCTCAAAGCAACTGAGGGGCAGCCTCGAGGTGCTGGCTGCCGGCTACCTGGCCCCCGTGGCCAGAGCCCTCGCCCCCTGACTTCCTCACAACCCCTCCCCAGGGCTGGGCTACCCCCTTCGCTGGCAGCAAGACCACCTGCCACCATCCCTGCTCCCCTCCAGCGCACCAGCTGCCTATGGGTTCACCCCTAGCAGCCCGGTCAGCACATCCTCTCGCTTCTCTCGCCTTCAAATGGCACAACGGGAACCAGCAGACTCCTCCTCCAGGGCACTCTGCAGTGCCCACTGGGGGTCTCTGAAGGCTGCCTGGGAGAGGCATCTGCTGTCCATACAGCGTATGATCCATCTACATTATGCTTTTAACTGTATAGTGGTGCACTAACTCTAACTTACTGCTATGCAGGAAAAACACCATTCAATGAGACACGAAGACAAACCACAAACCAGACTAACGGGACACAGCACTGATATGACCAGAGCGAGTGGGAGGATGGGGAGGGGAGATGGATGTGTGAACTACAGCCTCCGGTGGGGGGGATGGGAGGCTGGGATCTGGATTGATGACGGCTAGAGAGACAACACGATGAGTCAGGAAATCAAAACCAATGATGAGAGCAGGCACACCGTCAGAAAACGCCAGAAGGAAAAATTATTCAGGACTGTTCTTTCGCAAACACTCCGCAAGAAATCAAGCATGGAGCCACAGAGAAATGGCCAAGAATTTTAAATATCAACGACTTAGACAATGATACAAATTATAAAAGCAGTGTGTCAAAAGACCACAAAATGGACCAGGTACCACTTCACATGCAGCTAAAATGACCCACATTTATTTTAATTCTATGCTAACAATGCAGCTAACATGAAATGGGTGGGAACAGAAGAAAGGGATAATACAGGTGCAGTTTCAAGGCAGAGTGTTGTACACGAGATTCACGGGGTAAACAGCAATGCACTCAGAAAACTAGGCTACACAGGCAAGAAAGCTGGCACATGTGCTTTAGAGCCGCACACTCTGTCACCAGAAGCCCTAGGTCGTCATCCCGTGTTGAGACGCGGAAGAGTGAGGCAGCCCGACTTCTTCCCTGGGGCCCTGGGGCCCCGGGCCTTTAACTGGTTTCACGCGCACAGCTGGCCTGAGCGCGTGCGGCAAGGCCCATCAGCAAGCGGACCAGTTCAGATTCTTGGTTTTGTTGCCACCGCATGCCCTGCACCCTGCAGCCAGGCGACCCCGGTGGAACATGTGCTGCCCGCCTTTCACTCGCCATGAGGGCTGCCTGTGGTAACTTTCACGAGGCTGTCTGCTCCCTGACGACAGAAACTTCCCTGCCGCTGTCGTGCCCAGCACAGGCCAGGCCCACCGCTCCAGAGGCAGGCTCTGGCTGAGTTCATGATGGCCCGCTAAGCCGGTGGTGCAAATATCAACACTAATTGGTCCCTGTGCCATTATGGAATGATTAAAGACCAGGCAGTTTTAAAACTCTTAGCCCTCTGAGCATAGAAAATGTACCTGATTTTCCTCTGGGGATAAAGAGAAAAAACAAAGAAAGAAAAACAGTGTGCTCGGGGAGGGATGTGGCAGGGAGGAGGCAGACACATACCGCAGTCATGATGCCCAGCCGGTCTCCCTCGTGCGCCAGGCTGCGCCGCCTCCTTCGGGGTGGGGAGGGCGCCCTGCTGGGCGGGCAGGAGCTGGCAAGTGAGGAGGCAGGACACAGGTTGAGGGAGCTCAGGGACTCAAAACGCCGAAGGCTGCCTAAGCGCGCCCTGCCCGGCCTGCTCTCAGTCTCCTCGGCCCGCTGCTCCGTGCTCTCTTCCTCTTGGATCCACCTAAAGGAGAGCAAAACTCGTCAGCTGCCTCTGTCAGCACAGGAACCTGTCTGGACAGCAAATTTGGGCTGGCATTCTGTGTCACGATGAGCCAATTCCGGGAACATCTGCTCATTTCACATCTCGGCTAAAAGGTTCGACTTTCCCTCTTTTGAATATTCTCAAACTTGGAATAACTGAGCACTGAGTCTTACAAACTGGCCCCTGGTCATTCACGTTTGATTTGACTCCTTTACGCTAACATTGTGATGGGGCCCGAGTGGCGACTCTCTCCCTGTGAGGAGATACCTGAAGTTGACAACCTTCACCTTCCCTGCTCTCAGGGCAGAGGTGCACGTCAGGGCCTCAAGTCTTTGCCACTGCAAATCGGGAACTCTCTATAACCAAAACAGCGATTCATGAACAAGCTGGAGTTTCTAAACAAAAGTCCCCAGACCAGATGAAGTGCTGAGGGGATTTTTCTTTTCTTACGGTTGCATATGTACAAACGCATCCCTTGATGAAGTTCTCCACCAGCTTTCTGCGAGTCTCTGGATTCATGTCAATGTGCCGCACTGACATAGAATTCACCCTCACTGCTCTTCTGCCCTAATGTGTAGTGGAGGATTTTAAATAGCAGTTGAAATACTCGATGATGCATATAAAATGACTTCCAAAATAAAATACAGGATTCTTGCAGGTCATAACCTCTCCAGCTTCACTTCTACCTATAAGTCCTGAAAGTTTTTCACTGGTGATAGCAAGCTGATGGACAGGATTTGCCATTTATAACAAGTCAACTTACTGCCTAAGGAAAATTCACTTTACCTGACAACTTGCTGTTCAAATAAAAATACTAACATGGAACCGTTCCATCGTTCCTGCGGGGATGGGGAAAGCCCATCTTTCTGAGCTCGTCTGAGCTGAAACAGGGCCCAGGAAGCAGTCTGTCTCGGCGTCAAAAGTGCAGGCGGCACCACCTGCGTTTGCTGGGTGTGCCGTTCACCCCTGACTTTCCCCGAGCCCCGCGTGCTCGGCCCGCAGGCACGGGCACCTCGGCCTGGGCTGACGTGACGAGAACAATCTGAGCAGCAGCTCTGCCTGGTCCTGCACAGGGTCACCGGCCTGCGGCCACTCTGGACGTGGACCCGGGACAGGGGCGTAGCTGTGCGGGTGTGGCCCAGGCAGGCCTCGGGGCCCCCGGACACCCGGCTGCACCCAGACCCAAGGCCCGCTGCTCACCACGAGGCGGGCCTTTGCCTTCTATCCCGTGTTGTAAACTGTTACAACTGCCAAGACGGTGTCTAAAGAAAACATCTGAAATATCCTGATGAGATGAGAGAAACTCAAACATATGTCCTTGGGCCACTGTCTTACAACAAGCCAATCTTCACACTGTATTAACTTGAAAAGGACAATGCAGATCTGAATGGGAATTTGCCAACCCCCAAACCCCTGCTTTTCTGTTCCAGGTAGCTTTTCACCAGAACGTGGGAGTCTCCGATGGACACGGGAGGGTGAACTCTCAGTGCTGGAGGGCACACGGGACGCAGAGGACACTGCTTCGGCACCTCACCCACCTTGGGGCTCAGAGCTGGGGGGGGACACCCCACAAAGCCCCCCCACAGAGTGCTGACACCAGCTGTGGACAGAACGGCCTGCCTGTCTGAGCTCTCTCATCAAGGGTGGTCTGAGAACTGAAAATCCTTGAAGCAGGCCTGAAGTCAGTTTTCTCACTATGGAACACTCAAGACTTCTCGTAGGAGAAGACAGCTCCTCAGAGAAGCCCAGTTTCTGGGGAGCCGAGTTCGGGCACACCCACCAGGTCTCCTCACTGATGGTGTCCAGCTGCTCCCGAGGCATCACAGGCAGAGTGTCGGCATCGGCCTGCCCACTGGGCGGCAGCTGACCGGCCGAGCTGAAGAGGGTGACCCTGTCGCCCTCGCCGTCAGACACATCCTCGTCACTCTCGAAGTCCTGGGCCATGGTGGCCACCACGCGGGTCTGCTGCGCGGACTCCCAGTCCTGCTCCCTCTGGCTCTGCACCTGGGCATGAGAGGACCACGGCTGGTCAGCGACATTCAGGACAGCTCACGTCTATCAGGAACCGAACACAATTTTACATGGAAGCCCGACTTTGGATAAACGGCCATGCCTATGAGACACTGCCATCTCTTAAGCGAGCAGTACTGAAGAAATGGGCAGGAGGAGAATCCAGTTCCTAGATGGCCTGCTGACACTCAGGTCAGCATGGACGGAAGGCAAGCCTATCAGGTAATTCACAAGAGTGCGCTGACGGAGTCAGGGACAAAAACGCAAAATTGCAAACATACATCCATGCCTCCATCAGGCAGGCTGAAGGAAAATAAGAAGGAAAAAAATCCTTCTGCTCCAAAGCCGCTGGGTCCGCCTCAGCGCTCGTCACTTGTACTAGTTCCCCGAGGAGTGCCGTCCTCACAGGTTCCCAGCCCTACGTGTTCCAGGCTGGCCCGAACACGCAGAGAGAGGAGCGAGCAGGGGCAGCCAGGGAACTGGAGGGCCAGCCCTCCGCGGCTGTCCTCTCGGGGCACAGGCACTCGGGCTCTGCTGGGGGATAGCCCCTCGCACCGCAAGGGCGGCTCTGCCATCAGAGACGCACGGGAGAGTGCCTGCTGGGCCCTGTGCCGCCCTCCCGCTCTCACACCTCACACCCTTCTCTCTGCAAATCTCCCCCCTGTCCGACTCTCAACCCAGGTCCTGCCTTCTTTCCCACACATGACCTCAAAGCAACTGAGGGGCAGCCTCGAGGTGCTGGCTGCCGGCTACCTGGCCCCCGTGGCCAGAGCCCTCGCCCCCTGACTTCCTCACAACCCCTCCCCAGGGCTGGGCTACCCCCTTCGCTGGCAGCAAGTCCACCTGCCACCATCCCTGCTCCCCTCCAGCGCACCAGCTGCCTATGGGTTCACCCCTAGCAGCCCGGTCAGCACATCCTCTCGCTTCTCTCGCCTTCAAATGGCACAACGGGAACCAGCAGACTCCTCCTCCAGGGCACTCTGCAGTGCCCACTGGGGGTCTCTGAAGGCTGCCTGGGAGAGGCATCTGCTGTCTATACAGCGTATGATCCATCTACATTATGATTTTAACTGTATAGTGGTGCACTAACTCTAACTTACTGCTATGCAGGAAAAACACCATTCAATGAGACACGAAGACAAACCACAAACCAGACTAACGGGACACAGCACTGATATGACCAGAGCGAGTGGGAGGATGGGGAGGGGAGATGGATGTGTGAAGTACAGCCTCTGGTGGGGGGGATGGGAGGCTGGGGTCTGGATTGATGACGGCTAAACAGACAACACGATGAGTCAGGAAATCAAAACCAATGATGAAAGCAGGCACACCGTCAGAAAACTCCACAAGGAAAAATTATTCAGGACTGTTCTTTCACAAACACTCCGAAAGAAATCAAGCATGAAGCCACAGAGAAATCGCCAAGAATTTTAAATATCAACGACTTAGACAATGATACAAATTATAAAAGCAGTGTGTCAAAAGACCACAAAATGGACCAGGTACCACTTCACATGCAGCTAAAATGACCCACATTTATTTTAATTCTATGCTAACAACGCAGCTAACATGAAATGGGTGGGAACAGAAGAAAGGGATAATACAGGTGCAGTTTCAAGGCAGAGTGTTGTACACGAGATTCACGGGGTAAACAGCAATGCACTCAGAAAACTAGGCTACACAGGCAAGAAAGCTGGCACATGTGCTTTAGAGCCGCACACTCTGTCACCAGAAGCCCTAGGTCGTCATCCCGTGTTGAGACGCGGAAGAGTGAGGCAGCCCGACTTCTTCCCTGGGGCCCTGGGGCCCCGGGCCTTTAACTGGTTTCACGCGCACAGCTGGCCTGAGCGCGTGCGGCAAGGCCCATCAGCAAGCGGACCAGTTCAGATTCTTGGTTTTGTTGCCACCGCATGCCCTGCACCCTGCAGCCAGGCGACCCCGGTGGAACATGAGCTGCCCGCCTTTCACTCGCCAAGAGGGCTGCCTGTGGTAACTTTCACGAGGCTGTCTGCTCCCTGACGACAGAAACTTCCCTGCCGCTGTCGTGCCCAGCACAGGCCAGGCCCACCGTTCCAGAGGCAGGCTCTGGCTGAGTTCATGATGGCCCGCTAAGCCGGTGGTGCAAAT